GCCGCCCCTCGCTCTCCTCACATCGGGGACACGCAGACCCCTCCCCAAAAAAGAGCCGAGACCCCCCCCCAGAACCGGGGGCGCACGGAGCCGCCCCTGCCGGTGCCATCCGCACCCGAACGGGCGGGGGGCACACGGGGCCGCCCCTCGGTGTCCCCCCGCACCTCAAGGAAGCCCCGGGAGGCTCCGGCCCCGCGGCGTGAGGGCTCGGGGGGGGATGTGGGGGGGGGCGGGCTCCGTGCCCATCCCCGGCCCCCGGGCGCGTCCTCACCGTCTCGTGCGGCTCCATGCGGATCTTGAAGGTTTGCTGCTGCAGCGTCTTGAGCGTGACGGTGACGGCCATGGCGGGACGGGCGCGGGGCGGCGGCGGCGGCTCCTCCCGGCGGCCCCACGACAACAACATGCAACTCACGCCGCCGCCATCTTAGAGGCGGCCCCGCCGCTTCCGCCGCGGCGCCGGAAGTGCGTCACGGCGCGCCCGCGCGCGCGCCACGCTCCCGCGGGGAAAAAAAAACGGGGCGGGGGCAATGGAGTTTCCGCTGTCACGTGACGCGGGAAAAACCCGCGCGGGTCTCGTTCCCGCCCCCGATCACGTGACGCGGCGCCGGCACAAAATGGCGGCGGCCACAACATGGCGCGGGCGGGGAACAAGGAGGAAACAACGAGGAGCGAAACGGCGGCGGGACCGTCGTTAATTTAATAGAAACCGGATCACGACACCCCCCGTACAGTCCCGTGCGACACCGCCGGTGCTTTCCCCACCCCTCCCACCCCTCTCCGATCCCTCCCCACCCCCGGCGCTGGTCCTGAGTCCTCGCCCCGCAGGGCGCCCGGTGCCGGTTCGGTGCCGGTTCGGTGCCGGCCGTGCCGGTTCGGTGCCGGCCGTGCCGGTTCGCTGCCGGCGCCCATAGAAAAGAGTCCAGGTCTCACAGAGACAGAACGGGGCCCGCCGCGGGGCCCTCACAGCTCGTCCCGCGGGGCCGCCTCCGCCTCCTCGGGCTCGGCCTCGGGCTCGTCCTCATCCTCCTCCTCCTCGTCGCCCTCATCATCCCCTTCCTCTTCCTTCTGCTGCTTCTCCTCCTCCTCCTGCTTCTTCCGCTGCTCCTCGTCCTGCTGCTCCTTCATCTTCCTCTCTGCGTCCTGCGGGAGGCGGCGGGGAGGTCACGGGGGTTGTGGGGGCTCGTCCTCCCCGTACCTTGATGGCCCCCCAGGTCTCATTGGTGGCCCCCAGGACTCATCCCCTCGGTACCTTGGTGGCCCCCCAGGTCTCGTTGGTGGCCCCCTAGGTGTCATTGTCCCTCCCGCACCTTGGTGACCCCCCAGGTCTCATTGTCCCCCCCTTACCTTGGTGGCCCCCCAGGTCTCGTTCCCGATCTCCTCCGCCAGTTTCTCGTCGTCCGTGATCAGGAAGTTGTCGAAGATGGTGCCTGACTTCACCTGTGGGCACGGGGCAGTCAGGGGGGGTCCTGCAGCTCCTGGGGACCCCCCGAGACCCCTCCTGGGGACCCCCCCTCACCTGCCAGAGGTCGAGGCCGATGACCCCGAAGCTGTCGTAGGAGTAGAGCAGGGGGTCGGGGCTGTACTCGGGGTTGTCGATCTCAGGGTGCACCCACTTGCCCTTGTAGTCGGGGTTGTCGATCTGCTGCGGCCTCCACTCGCCCTGGTGGGGGGCACAAGTTGGGGCTCAGAGGGGGCTCAGCCCCTCCCCCAGCAGCCCCCCAACACCGCAGCAGCCCCCCCAGGCCTCACCTTGTACTCGGGGTTCTGGATCACGGGGGGCTCCCACTCCCCGTCCATCTCCTCGTCCCAATCCTCCGGTTTCTTGGCGTCGGGGTCCGGGATGTGCTCGGGTTTGTCCCAGTCCTGCAAGGGGGGTGGGTTGGGGGGCTCAGGGGGCTGCTGTGGCCCCCCAGGACCACCCTCGCCTCCCCACCTCTCACCCAGTCCCCCCCATTCTCCCCCTAATCCTTCCAGGACCTTTTCACAACACCCCCCCAAATCTCCTGGAGACCCCCCAGGTTCCTCCCTAAAACCCCTCAGAGCTCCCCCAGCCCCTCCAATCCCCCTCAAAAGCCCCTCCAAGCCCCCTCCCCTCTCCCCACCTCGGGTTTGGTGTCCTCGGGGTCATCGATCTTGGCCCGCTCGTCCCAGTCATCGGGTTTCTTGGCCTCGGGGTCTTTGATCTTTTTGGGGGGCAGGAAATCCCAATCCTCCTCCAGGCTCCCCGACTCCACGCGGGCGTTGTCAATCTTCACCTCATAGGTGTTGTCCGGCCGCACCACCAGCGTGTACAGGTGGGTGAATTCATCATCCTGGGGGGCACAGGGGGGGCTCAGCAGGGCTGCAGACCCCCCCCCGACCCTACACAGCAGGGGACAGCAGGACCCCCCACCCCCAAAAGCCCCCAGACCCACCTTGCAGCGAATGTCCTTATTGATCAGCACGTTCTTCCCTTTGTAGTTAAAAATCACGTGCACCTTCTTGGTGCCGGGGCCACAGATGTCGGGGCCTGGCGAAACATGGAGAAAAATTAAATTTCACCATTTTAACAAAGATTTGTAGGCAAAAGTATATTTATTTACAGTGCTGTGGATGCATGTGGGGACTCATCACTTTTCAATGGACATGTGAACCCGTGGAACTCCTGATCCTTTTTTATAACCCTGACTAATTTCTACAAGCATAAAATTTAGTAATAGGCTCATACATATTTATTTTGCTGATTTCACGTTACGCTCACAGCTAGTTCTACTTAGCTTTTGTCAGAAAGTATAGACAGAGCTCCTGGGTCACTTTGCCCTGTCTGTTTCAAGGTCTGATGAGATTTTCTTACCTCTTTCCTTTTTAGTGTGGAAATTTGCATTTTTTTCCCTTTAGCTGGGGTAGTTTTGCTAGTGCTGCAGTTATTAAACTAAAACAGTAAGCTCAAAGCAGTACATTTCACTTAAATCTAAATATATTTCTATTTTATTACATTTTTTACTCTGTCTCACTGGGGCTGGGGGGGACACAGGGTCACGGAAAGGGGCTGAGGGGCAAAGGGGGGGCAATGGGGTCAGAGAAAGGGGCTGAGGGGACATGGTGCTAGGGAAAAGACCACCCCAAGGGGGCTGGGGGGCGAGGGGGAGACTCAGGGTCAGGGAAAGGGGCTGAGACCACCCTGGGGGGCTTGGGGGACACCCACCAAACATGATGTTGTACTCGGAGTCGCCGTGCATGTCCTCCTGGCTGAGGCTGGCCGGGAAGAGCTTGACGTAGCCGCCGCCACAGTCGATGTTCTGCTCATGCTTGACAGTGAACTGCACCACCAGCGTCTTGTCGCGGTTGCTGAAGGGCTCGAAGCGCGACGACAGCGCGTAGAACCGGGCGTCCTGGCTCGTTTGGATCCCTGCGGGACGTGGGGCGTGGTTGGGGAAGGGGGAGAAAACCCCAGCCTCGAGGTCTTTCCCCCTCCGCCTGCCGCGCTCCCCGGCTCACCTTTGTCCTTCTCGGCGTCGCCGTAGAACTTGCCGGCGGTGAGGACGAAGCGGCCGTAGTCGGGTTTGTGCTTGGATTCCACCCACCGGCGGGTCCAGGCGTCTGTGAGGGGGCAGGATCAGCACCCCCAAAGCCCTCCTGCCCGCCCAGCTCAGGGCTTGGGGCAGGGTCTCTTTGCTGGATGGTTTTAGGCTCGCAGAGGAAAGCTGAGTCCCCCCACCCGCCAGGAACCCTCTCCATGTGGCTGCTGCGTTCCTCACGAGCCTTTTTCCTGCTCTTTTCTCTCTTGTCCACCTGCTCTGCTGAGGCTGAGCCCCCTCAGCCTGTCCCTCCAGTGACCCTTGCTGGCTCAGGGATTCCTCAGCAGCTTCGTCCTGCCTGCCCTGACTCCCACTCGCTGCCCACACCTGAGGAGTGGCTCCTGCACGCCCTGTCACCTCAGGGAGCAGCACGTTCCACATTCTCTGCCCTCACACAACACCCAAGGATCCCCTCCTCGTTTCCCTCAGAGACCACAGCAGAGTGCCCCCATTCTGTTCTGTTCCCCTCACAGAACACAGATCAGTCCCCCCCATTATTTCTTTAAAGAACACAGCGGGATCACTCCATTTTCCCCTCTCAGAACACGGTGAGGCGGGGGGCGGTCACTGAATTCTCTCCCTTCACAAAACACAACAGGCTCCCTCCTTTCTCGCCTTACAAGTCACACGGGGTGCTCCCATTCCCTCCCCTCACAGACCACAAGAGGATCCCCTAATTCTCCCTTCAGAAAAGACGGGAAGGTCTCTCCATTCTCTCCCCTCACAAGACACAAGAGGGCCCTCCCAGCCTCCTGCCTCCCCCTCAGACTCCCCTCAGACTCCCCAGGCACCGCCCCCCCCCAACCCCTTCACCTCAAAAGCCCCCCCCCCTCAGGCCCCGCCCTCACCTCCATCCCCGAACTCCTCGCGGAAGAACTGGGTGGGGCCGGCGGCCGCCAGGAGGGCTCCGAACAGGACGGGGCCGAGGACGCCGAGGGGGCTCATGGCTGGCGGGGGAGGGGGTTTAGGAACACTCGCTCCGTCCGTCCCGGCCCGGCGCCGCCCGGCACTGCGGAGGGGGGAGGAGGTGCCGCCGCCTTTTATACTCCCGCCGCCCCTCGCCCTGCCTCCGCCGCCCTGCCATTGGCCCGAGGCCGCGCGCGGCCCTCTCCCATTGGCCGCCCGCCCGCCCGCCGCCGGCGACGGCGCCCCCGAACGTTGGCGTCCCAGATGGCCGCTTCCCATTGGCTGAGCGCGGTGGCCAATGAGGAGCGACCACGCGTTCGGAGGGAGACGCCCCCCCCCCGCCCGCCTCGCTCCGGGGGTCACGTGGGGCGCGCGCTCTTAAAGGGACAGGCCCGGCAGCGGAGGTGGGAGGGAGGGAATTTAAGGGGAAATCGGGAATATGGGGAGGGAGCAAGGCGCACGCGGGGCAGGGCGGCCTCCTGCTCGCCTTTCCCTTCACACAGCGCCGCGACGCGGGGGTGATGTCATGGATTAAGTGGGGTCGCGGCAGGTGTGATCGCAAGGATGGTGGACCCGGGCCGGGGGCTGCTCTAAGGAACCCCTGGGCCATATCAGCCCGGCTGGGCTCCGCGGTGGACAGCGTCCCCCCCTTTTGCAACTTCCTGACGTCACTGCGCCCCCCCGCAGCCACCTGCGTGACCCCCCCCACACGCGCACGCGCCACACCCAACATGGCGCCCACCACG